TTGCGATGTGATAGAGCAGGCCGTAAAAACCGCCTCAACTTGGTGGAACCACACTTGGGGATTACGTGGATTATGATCAGGTAAACGGATGCTGATCGTATTGTCGACTAAATCAAATGAATCGGAGTGTGTATCCATAAAGACGGGCAAAAGGTGTTTACGAAATAGGTGATCTAACAGTGCAAGCGAAAGGAAGACACAAAACGTCGTATCGGTAAGTTTTTGGTGCATTACAATGTGTGAAACGTGCTGACAGAGTCATAGGACGGAGACGAACCCCAACAGTGCTTTAAGTAGGCTTAACCCGAAAGCCAGATTTGGTATTACTTTGGAGACCCGGTTAACTTTAGTGGAGCAAGGGCTCAAGAGTACTACTCCAGCGCTCACAGTCTAGGGGCCTTCACTTCACTCCGGCGAGACGACTAAGGACTGCCAATTTCTACGTTACCAAAAAATTCATCGAACTGTGAGGGTGCAGCCACCGGTGTATTGACTGTACGCACAACTGATATGCTCGATAAGCTGCTCGTACAATTATATCAATTCCATAAAGCTGGAAACCTCTGCCACGTCCGGAGTACCAGCTACAATAGGGATAAAATATTCGGCATCTGAAAGAATGTCAATACCGTGGTTATCTACCGGGGGTGGGGAAGATATGGAGCCCCAGAACTATAGGACAACCATTCCGGTGTACACGCAACTGAAGCAACTTAGTCTGATTATTAGAGACCGAATTTCAAAGCAACCTTCTAGCACCTTGTCAACAAGCCTCTGGTAGGAGTTTCTTCTCAAATATCATATTTTTCCTAGACTAAGTGGCATACTGTAGTTACCTTTTAGCGAGCTTCTTGAGTCTGACAACCCCAACTTTTGTACTGACTGTGTTGTCCTCAATGGTCAATCTAACATTGCCCGTTCAGTAGATGGCCTACTGAGCGATAAGGCTTCCAACCTGTCGGTCAGTTTCCATCACAAAAGTTAGGAGTGAATGGTGGGCTCTGTCCTGGGTCGTCTAGCACTTCCAGTGTATGGACCCAAATTCGCATTTCTGATTTCTCTTTTAGCTCTTCACATTTCCAATCTCATCTTCATCATTTACGTAAAATCGGGGTAAACCCACAACTCGGCTGTCTCTGGCTGGGTATAGGTAGGGTAGGCCTCCCTGCGGAAACCTTGCATCTCTAACAACCAAAAAGGGTCCCGGTTCCACCGGCAAATTAACTTAAAATTCATTCGGGAACTTAGCTTCTCGATAGCTTTATGTGTAAAGGGACTTAAGCATCTCTGCTTGGAGGGGGCTTCCAAGTCTGTGGTCAGTAAACATCCGAGACTTTGGAAGCAAAACAAGCTACCTGTTGTTCCTTGAAAGCAGTGAAATTGAGAAAGCTAGTAGTGTTCCTTCAATATTTTAATGTTTACGTTCTCATCCCAAAACGGTGTGTGCCTTTAGCCCGCAACTCTTGAAAAAACGCTGCCTTAAGTAAAATTGATGACAACCAGGAAGATGATAGTGGTGAAAAGTCTTGGTTTTCCGGGCCTACCACTAACGCGACAACATTACTAACTGAAAAGAGTATTAGGAGGCATTTACAAGAAGCCCCCGTGGAAACCAAACCTCCTGGGGTATTGGAGGTAAACTGAGTGCCATCATGACCTACCGAACCGATCGTGGTACAAAAACTGCCTAGTGTGTACTTGACGCTTGCGATAATCTCGCACATACGGTTTTTAACGTGGGCCTTATACAGAGCTTGAACATAGACCTGGTGGGATGTGGGGGAGAGCTCTCCAAAACGTGGTGTATATGGCGTGGGATTTCCGCCTGAATGTTTGAGTACCTGGTCATGTCATTAACTCCGTATTAATTTAAGCCACCTTTGTGAGCTGATTGTATAGTATGATATAGGCAACCTATTACCTGTCACATCGACCCTGTAAACTAAACCTAGTCCCCTCAACTGTTGGGCAGCCCGATCTGTACCTAATCAGGAGAAAAATGGCGCAGAGCAGTGGTCGATAATGTATTGTCAAACGCGTGAAAAATAAATTACAGGGATGATCCAATGATTAGACAGGCGGCACATTGCCAGCAGAAGAGAATTCGCACACGAATGGGAGTTTCGTGCTGCCCTAAACGAAAGTGTTCAGATCAGCTCAAGCGAAAATGCGCTATAACAGAGTGGAGCATGGGAGACTGGGGAGGCACCGGTAAGCTATCCTCGGATATCCAGTGAAGTGACCCATGCAACACCAACGAAGGATAAGGAATACAAAGAAGCATAAAGGAGAAAAAGAAATCAAGATGAGGAAAAATGAGAGTTCAAATATATGCACTGTCAAAGTTTTGAGCAACGTGATCGCCAAAAGAATAGGGGAAAAACTAAGAATACAGAACTGTTTGTGTTGAATATCCGTTGTATAGTATATTTCTCTGCCTCTGTCTGGAAGAGACCGCATTTACTTGACTAAAATGTGGACAAACCTTTAAAACCTGTTGTGATATCCTATACCTGAATTTGATTGTGATTAATGTAGCTCTCCTATTCTCCAACCTAAAGCATTTGGAACCTACAGTCCACATCAAGACTTTGTCGCAAAAACCCAAAGTAGGGTATCCGAAACATCAAGCCTATTCATTCGGTGTCAATACGTGAAATCTTTGAAGCCGATGAGTTCCCGAGAAATCGGTTAGTCGGTGAACTGAAATTATTTACTCCAGGTGGAGGCTTTTCGAATTTTTTGGAGTTTCTGCATATGGGGTGAGTTTTTCGTCTGCCTCTCATCCAACTCTGGACTGTTTTTGGCCTTCTTTAGCGGATGAATGTAACCTTTAATAAGGTTTCAGTATGCGTGTATTAGTTCTGGTCCATAAGTTGTCTTCAGATCTAGCGGAGTGCAAAACATTTGAATTTTAGTGCGCCGGCCGATTACTTTCAATTTGGTGCCTTGCCGCCCGTTTCTGGATTAACCTATCACTCCAAACTACGTTGATGAACTCATATACCGGGTGGGAACCGCTACATTTAGATTGTATTAGCTAGTACAACCTACGCTGTCTGCAGACGTGCACATGTGCACGTGTTGTATCCGAACTTCTTGTGGGACGCTACCCGGTTACCGGAGCCACTCAAATGGGCCGCCCTAATCCTGGAATGGAGTAATCTGATCAATGGGACTTCCATCAGAAACACAAGCCCCACGATCTACAGGTTGTCACTGACTACGGCCATATCACGGATTCACGGATTGATACACAAAATCGAGGCTTTTGCCCAAGTTTCCTGAGTCAGTTTTGTTCTTGTCGGTCAGTAGCTGTCGTTCACCTGAAAGGCAAAAGTGAAAATGGTGTAGCACTGCTCTTTATGTTCTCAGCGCGGGGCAGTATGCTTGCCGGCGCGAGGATTCGCATAAATAAATGTCCAATAGTGCTTTAAACTGGGTTCTAGAAGGAGCGTGGACAACCGTCGGAGAAAGGTCATTCAACGCAGCTACTACCCGAAGTGAGAAAAAATTTTGTCTGGTGAGTGTGTGTGCTCTGAGCTTGTCATAGGTCTTGTGCAGTCTCGCAATCGTTTCAGCTAACATCTGGTAATATGTGAAGCGCAGTTTGTTAGTGTACTCCGTACAAACTGCTTCGACTTCACATTGGCATCGCAGGATTCGTTAGCTTCACTGGGTGCTGAAAAGATGGTCCGTCGGTAATTTTTTTACATTCATTTTACGAATGAAAACGCGAACAACCAATCTATGTCCTGGAGTGAGCACAGTGCCCAAAGACAGTCATTATCCCGTTAATGAATCCATTGTTGTGGTAGGGGAAATATGTGCATAACAAAGTGATAAAATGTCACATGATGTCCAACTAAAGCTAAAAGATTTGAATAAAAGCCATCGCGTAGGTCATGGAGTCGACACTCTGAATCATTCTGGTACATAGGACAAAAATGCTACTTTCCACGAGTACTTTGACGATTTAAAAAGCCAGGCAATCAGAACTTAGCGAATGTATACTAAAGTCATCTCCGAACCGGCCGACTGCGTCGTGTTGAAGCCGTTTACATTGTATGGTTTAGAAGCAAATAAAGTTGTGTACACTATTGTCACTGTTAGAGGTTCTGAGTATTCTCCTTGAATGCAGGTTTCTGTGGCGTGCGAATGCATAGGACCTGCGTTGTACTCTCATTTGGGACATTAACGCTAGTTTCGTTAGGACAAGATTCTCCAGTACCCATATCCTGGGTCCTCCATCCGGTAGAAGTCAGTGGAAAAATACAAACTGCCCCCACCTTCCGTCTCTGAAGCGGACAAGTGCGACTAGTTCAGCTTCTTTTAAAATGGAGCTGTAATCGGACGAACGGTTTTACGCCTTGTCCAGGACAAATATTGGGTAAAATTCTTCCACAATTGAACCGTTGTTCGTGAGTAAACTGCCGCTAACGAGGTGTGGAATGTTATGGTGCATGTTAAGGATCTAACGGAATGTTTTGGGTTTGGAAGCCAGCTGAGTAATTGCAGGTGGCCAGTTGCTTAAAGTGTTCAGTCCAGGATTCGGAAGTCCTTGTTTTTTTTTAGGGATAGACAAGTAGCTTTTATCAATGGTCGTTTCTCTTAGCGGAAGCCTCTTTGGACCTATCGAGCGTATCAGCTGGAACAGTATACGTGCACCTTCAAAGTTTCTTGCCTATTCACTCTGTTCATCCTTCTGGATCCGCCAGGCTTCCTGATCCGAGCAGATTCCCTTTTCCATCTGAAGTCTGACAGCTGGTCGAGTGGTATTGTACTCGACCAAGAGGAACACACACCCAAGCTTTAAGCAATTTAATTGGGTTGTTTTGGATCCATTGCGTAGACATAGTTGTTTGCGCCTCTCTGAAATTGGTGTCCAGCATCTCGCAGGGTTGTGGACAATATTTTTAGTAGTGGTCAACATCAGAAGACGTATTCGAAAGGGCGTTCAATAGGTGGTTCTAGTGAGTTTGTTTCACATCAGAGTCGAGAGCTTCACAACGATGATGCGAAGTGTGCGTATCTTGTGTGCCACTGAAAAGTGCAACGAGAAATAGTAGTGAATAGGCACGTGATCCGAATCCACGCAGGTTCTGCAGAACGACCGATAATCAGTAATCGCCCCACGCCAACTATAGTTAGTGGCAACGTGATCCATCTGTGTTCGAAGTTGACTCGAATGCAGGGAGCATTGTGTAGCCAAATGGCCTCAGTTATTTGGAAGGTAGTATTACACAAAGACAGTCGGTGGTAAGCAGCATGCGTTCACCGTTGTCCGTGCGTCTCATTTCGAGTCCAAAGCTCTAGCCTAATAATAATGATGATAATAATAATATAACCCTTCAGTTGTTGTTTTGTTGCCTAGCTATTACGCCAACCGAAGAAACCACGAGGCCTGAGACACTGCCAGGTTACTCAAGCCGAGACAGGGGCAGCCGATATGCCAGAGTTGGATTCGACCTACGGACTCTCCGACCATTAAGTTCGTGCCTTAACCACTGAGCCACCTCGATGGCCAGTTATATCCACCTGCACTTTCATATCTCTGGCAACCACAACAGTACCTGAGTTCTTAGCCCACCGCCGCAAGGCTCTGTAAGCGTCATAAAGACTATCTTTAAAAGTATCATAGCTATACTCTTTTTGGGCATAAGTCGATACAACGAAGAGGCGGATGAGGTACGGCAGTGAAGCATCAGTGTTGAACACTGATGTCATGCCGTCGATGATGATGATGACGATGATGGAGATACTCACTCGCCAAGCGAACCGCACAGAGTCGACTGTCAACGAACAACCCTTCACACAGTGACCCTTCAGCCTGGAACGATGCCAACCCCAGAAGAACCGGGCACAGAGGATTCCGGATCACCACTGTTGCGCAACCGAAAGCGAGAGGAAACCGATGAGTATACCAGTTCAACAACCGCATTTGGGTCTCCAATCATTTTAGACGTACAGCATACAGCAATAGACGGCAAGTCCACCATACACACAACATTATTCTGTTAACCGACTTGTTTCAGAGTGTGAACGTTTAAGGCTGTCAGACGAACCGAGCCTCTGGATTTGAAGAACAATTTCGAAATTTTACGGCTGAGTTGACTGTAGGTATTGCGGCTAATGGCGAACGGATATGTCAGTTCCCATCTGTGGGCCTACTGAGAGGAAGAGGGGAGACGTCAGCAATAACCTGTTTTTGCTCTACAGCTATATTCAGTAAGTAAGGCGACCTAGCTGATGGCACTACGTGACAGATGATGTAGCGTGAGGTTATCTGTGGACGTGCAACTCGTTTGTACGTGGACCGGGATACTGCCGGGGCGCCCAGGCCTAGAGAGGTGAACGACCGTGGTCCTCAAACAAGCCATCTGAATCAAAAGCCTAATCACAAAGCAGCGGTGGTTGGCCCAAGACCATCCGAATTGCTTGCATCTTTTAAGGGCAAGTCGCCACACGTGTTTCAACCCCCAACCTGGGGGGACCAGGGGACCGTGATTCAAACCTTTACCCACCGTCCAACCTGGTGTGAGAGGCTTTATGAGTTCCACACGTACATCACCCATCATAGCTCAATGGTTCATGGAGTTCCACAAACCGTCACTCCACCATGCCGTCCAGTCTCTTCATGACGGAAACCTTAATCAATCGAACAGCTATATTGAAATTGTACCAGTTAGATACCGGTAGCAATGCTCTGCTGAGGACTGCTGGCGCTTTTAAAACACCTTTGCGGAGTCAGATCATGTCTTAGTCCGTGCCTTTACTGCGGTTTGTTTCCAAACGATAAAAGAGAAGACCACTCACTGTTTGAAAGACTCGGTCATCAAGTGAGTCCCTCAATGGACAGATCACGAATGTGAAATAAACCGGTTGACCAAATGGGGACTAATTCTTAGTCCGGTGGCGAGAAGTCAAGACCTAAAACTCCATGGTGTTTTCTTAATAGCACTTGGTTCTGATGCTCTACTTCTGATAAACGAGTTGTTGCTGAAGAATATTAGCATGCTCTGAAACCTAAGCATTCCTTTCTCCGATCGGAGAGGCCATCTAAGTGGTTAGAGCGCGAGCTTACTGAACGGAAGGTCCGTTGTTCGAACCCGACTTCTGCCTCTCGACTTCCCCTGTCTTGGCTTGGACAACCTGGCAATATTCTAGCCCTCATGCTTCCTTCTGGTGCCATTGCAGTCAGGCACCGAAAGGGTCCCATAGCTGATCGGAGAGGCCAAAGACAAAATCAAGATTCGCTCGGACAATGTCTGCGGAGCGTTCCTACCGCTGAGACACATACTGCAGCGCATAAAAGAAGGTACTCTGTAGAGCCAAGTTTTGAGTCTATCAGCCTGCCATTTGGCCTGTTTTCATGCACACTGACGTGTGTTTCAGATTCTCATGTGATAACTTTTTAACCATGGTGTTTCAAAAGTACTCACAATCCTTCCTCAAGACGGCATGTCGTATTGAGAACTCGACTCACAGTTAATCTGAGAACGTCGAATTCGATGGTTTGAACACATTCTTCGTCGCTCACATACACCATCAGAGCTGTTATTGCTTGCGCCAAGATTGCCGTTGTCATCGCCATGGTCAGCTGAAAACTTGGATTGATACCGTTAAACCTGGTGTTAAATGCCTCAGGTGTTTTACAGCCTGGACCACTGGGCCAACACTGGATCGACATCATCGTCATCCTCATTATAAAGGGAAACGCCCAAGCAATGGAAACTAGTGCAACCATAGAGGGAGAAGGTCCTGGTGAATACCTCAAACAAAGAGGGTGAGGGATTCATTGCAAAAGGTCCCCTATTCCTCAGTAAAACGACCAAGGGCAACCGAAACCAGTGAGACAAACACACCTTAGTTTCACGTAAGAACATGATGCCGCCAACAGGGTTGACCCAGCATCATTTACGGGCCTCGCCAAACATAAGTGCAGCACACCACGATAGACAAACGTTAATCAGACATTCCTGCTGTTAAGTGACAGAAAGCTGTTCACTGAGACCATCTGGATCAAGCCGGACCAGGGAAGTACAAGGCAGTAGGGTTTTCTTTGGAGACCATGTCCTAAACTAATGACTCAGTAGTCTGGCCTGATCGGCTGTAAGCAGCTAGCCTTACTTGAGAGTGCAGGGGATAGGGCTTATGTGTCTCACTCCTGATGCTGCACTGTCCATGTGGATTTTAAGCAGCACCGTGCCCAATGCAAGGTTTCGTGGCAGTATTGATCAACTCGCCGACAGCCAAGGTAAACGTTTGGCCGGTTACATTGTGTGGTTTTAGGGCCGGTCTTTTTCAACCCGTCCTTTCTCGGGGGAGTAGAGCACCTCCGCTTCTATAAACATGGACCTGCTGGTTGCCTGGGGAACTTTTTACCGCCTTCCCACTCCCATCGCAGGGGACAATACCGCTTAATTCTTAGACCGTTTCGCATTACAATTACTCGTAGTACGGTGTCTCGCTCTCCTGGTCTGACTTCCCCTTTTGGCCTTTCTGCCATGGTTGAAGCTTGAGGAACGAAGTTCCAGTCAGTGCAACCCTCATGATCGTTGCAGCACTCAAATCCGACCACCAAATCAAGATGGTAGCTGTAGGTCTGGATGTATCACATGCGGTATATGGTGTTCGGGTGATACGACTACACGTGATTTTTGCACTCGTTATCCCGAGAATTTCCCCGGTTCGATTACATGAAGCTACTGGCCTTGAGAGCCTCCGTCATTCGTGAAAATTTGTAATCCTTGATTAGCCTTTTCTGCTTTTAAAAAATCCGTATTCGATCACCGTTGAAATCTTCCCCATATGCTTATGTTAACACTTCGTCAGTCTCCCTTGGACCCACTGGATCAAATATGAGCAGAAAGACACCTGCTTACATGGTATCCAGCCAGCAAATGTGCTTATGGTCTATCAGAAAAAACGAGTACGACATTTAATCTTGGTAGATGAAATGGGTCATACGTTGTTGATTCACTTGAGGTCGGAACTGATACCCGTCGTAAAGAGAATGAACCTTAGCTTGATACAGCAGTTTCCGCATCTCAATAACCGATTGAGCTGTAATGGAGGATACCCATTCAGCATTCACTGCCTCTCTTACGAGGTTGGTCAGTAAGTGTAGTTCTGGCAGACACGGTATCCTGACTTTCCATGTTGGGGGTTGAGACGAGTGTGGCAGTTTATTCTTAGAAACGTGGGCCACTTGGGTAGTCTCACGCCGAACGCCGCCGTCCTGTGATCAGGTTCTTGAGCCAAAGTATTTGGTTAAGGACGCTGGTTGTCCTCCTGTTTAAATCAGAGCGCACTCGCAGTGTTTCAGTCCCCATACAACCAATAACTTTACAACTAAAAGAATCTGCATGCTACATGGCCCGTCGCATAATGAAGTCAGCCCGGTAGCCTTATTTGCTGCATACAACATGACGGGTAGGTGAATGAATAAACTACATGGTTAAACTGGAAGAACTGTCAGTCTCATTCCAATTATTCGAGCGGGTTTAACTGTCTTTAACGGTTATGGCAATCGTTTTTTGATATTTCCAAACATGAACACTTGTTTGTCTTAATTGTCTGTTTGTCACAGCGAGCTTCCTGTGTTCACTTGCCAAGCACATGTGTTCACAATCAACCCCAAAACCAAGAAATCATGGATCCCTTCCAGTACCAAAGCAGTAGATGTCAATTTCTTCTACGACTCCAACAAAAATTGTTATCGTATCATCAGTGTGGAGGATGGTCCCGGCGGAAAGAAAGTAGGTGCTACAATGCATTCATTTTCACTGTCCATCTTCGCCTTGTTGGTCTCATTCTGTTTTTAAATTGCAGAAGCAATGCTGTTAGATCATTGTATCGTTTTAGCTTACTGCAGCTTATGAAGAAACCGGAACCAACGAAACATCGATATGCTTAGCTCGGAATGCTTCTTGCCTACTGCCCTTCTAATCCACATACCAAATGCGCAACCCATACACCAAGCGAAAAGTGCAACTTTTAAAAATTTTCGCCATTAGTGTCATGCGTAACAGAAATGCAGCCGAAATTTCCCTACGAAATACAATGGCAAGAATATTCAGCAATGCGGCTGAAGTGGTCCCGCTTTTTTGTGTGTCGTGAATATGCTTACCATATTTAGTCGGCCAACATAAGCTGGGTTGGAATGAAACTGAAGTTAGAAAGATCAATGCACAACCCTCAGAAATATCATATTCTGTGAATCAATCCCATTAGACGACTAAAAAGCTTGTTACCCCTTTCGGAAAGCAGAATCACTTGTTTAAACTGGCTGGAAGGGTTTTAATCACTGGTGGAACTAAGAAAATCCAGAGGTCGCCACGATAACGCACTCGTCCAAACTCCCCAATAAATCAGTCTTGAAACCTAATCACTCACGCCGGATAACAAAAGCCGTTAGGCGACACATAACATTAATTTAATATAGTTTTATAAAGGGATATTGGCGAGTGTTTCTCCGTCGATCTCAACGTTTGGCCTACCTGGTAATCCTTTGGAACTATGCGATAGCCGCCCGATCGGTCCTCAACTTTGCTTCACAAATACCACAGTTTGAAACACATCAAAAGAAAATAACCAAGCGCCACGGTTTCGGAATAGGTTGAAGAGCCATCTAACACAAACGCTTGTAGTAAGCCAACCGCACAGTGTTCCTGTGCCCCAGTGAACTTGCCAAGTTGTTAGGACATTCCATGAGTCTTTTCCAACTGTCATAACTGCCGCGACGTATTCATTGACTTTCGTCATCTCTCATTTTGGAAAGTCATAGCAAGCTCCGCGCCATTTGGTCTCGGTTTGTTGGTAGACATCGCTGGCGTTGGTACTGCAATCCTCGCAGTGAGTCTTCTCACAAACGACAGCTGGATGAACGTGCAAATTTAACTGCTGTTAATTCCACTCGAAGCCGAGCTCCTGTTCGCTAAAATTGAGTCAGTGAGTAATTACTCACGTAAGTGCAAGTGACACTCTGTGCAAGCATGCGTATCTATGTGAACCGTCGGTCGAATGGAAGCAAGCTCCGGGCTCAGTAGGTTGGACGATCGTGAATGTGGCTCATATACTCAGGTGAATGCGAATGCGAGAGATCGATGGACCTGTGCGAGTTGGGCCGTCTAGCAGTCGGCAACTCAGATAGCTTCGTTCAGGCTGAACCAGGTACTCGTACTTTTGAACATTTGAAACTTAGACGTTAAATTTGCCTGGTTTGCTTTGTTCTGTCGTGTAATTTCTTCACATTTACTCTCGTTAGCTGGCTTGTGGCGAAGTATTAGTTTGGGGTATAAAAATACTTAAAAAGTAAATCGTTTGTCGGTAACACCCTTTCAATGCCTAGCTATCACGTCACCCGAGGGAAACACGAGGGCTGCGATACCGCCAAGTTACGCAATCCTAGACGGGAAAAGTCGAGATGCAGAGGTCGGGTTCGAACCACAGACCTTCCAGTCCATAAGCTGGCGCCTTAACCACTGAGCTCTCTCGAGCCTTGTAACAGGCACAGTCTACCAAAACCCCAATCCCAAATGGATACGAAGCAGGAGGCTGTTTGACTTCACTGGTCTTCATCATTCAGCTTTTTATTACCACGTCCTGTGTTCCTAGAAAGTTGGTCTTGCCTTGCTCATGTAACGATAAGTGACACGGACGCTAGTGGATAGAACGCTGTGCGATCAGATCCGTGGCTCACTCAATAGACGTGACCATTGATGGAAATTACTTGCTTGCATCAGTGTATTCCGGAAGTTTGATGCGGTTCTGTAAAACATTGTGGAATTTTAAGATTGAGAAGGCTTGAATTCAGCGCTCAACTGCGCAGCGTATACGAATTTGACTCGGCAGTCCCAAACCCAATATGTTTTTCAGAGAGTACATATACATGGGGAACTGAGATATCTTAAGGTAAGGTTTATAAAGGAAATCATGGACTCGGGTCGCATCAAGCAAGTCACACCCCTTCGGTGCCGAGCTGTCATGCCACCCAAAGGAAGCATGAGGGATCGGATACTGCCAGGTTGCCCAGGCCTAGACAGTCGAGAGGCAGAGGCCAGGTTCGAACCAGTCAGTCAGTAAATTCGCGCTATATCCTCTGAGCCATCTCATCCTAAGCAAAGTATGACCATATAAAGATCTGGAACTTTCAGTGTGCATGCCTATGGCTAGCTGTTAGTCTAGCCAGTTCGTTAGAAGTCTTCTAGGACTACAACTGCACGTTCCAACTGCTGTGTTCCTCACTTCTGCAAATTACCCGTTTATAACACCTAGGCGGAAATGTCAAAATCGAAGGCCAACTTAAACCTGCCGTTTGTTGTCAGCTTCGTTAGTGGTGTTGGTAGCGAGATGGACACTGTTTCTGTGGATTATTGTTGAAACAGATGGTTTCTTTTAATTATTTTGCAACTTTACTCCCACTTTGATTCGCCCAGAATAAGTCACTGGACTTAAGTTAATTGAAATCCAACACTTTTCAGCCTATTTTATCGGTTTGTAAGCACCTAATCACCTCTTCTCCCTATAACCTCTTACTACATAGCAGAAAAACTGGCGAAATCACTAATTGACAGTGTCTGTTGCCTGCGAAAGGACGCATGCGCAAATAGCATTCACTTTCTGTCACAACTAACGCCGGCAACGGTATTTACATGACTTTCTCGTTGGGCTCAGTGGGTGGCTGTCCGCTGTCTGTAAACTTAGTCCTACCAAGGGCAAAGCACCCGCTGACTAGTTTTTGGGTGAAGTGTCGGTGGTGGAATTGGGTGGGACTGTCAGCATCAGACAGAGCTTCACTGCCTTGCAACCACAACGTTTATTTAATTACATCGAAAGACTTAGAGTGAAAACAAACATAAAACACCCTTCCACCTAGCCACACACCGTCCACCTCGCAGTTCGCTCCATTCTGAAGGAGGTACAGAGATCACATCACTGTCTAATGTTTGTGGTTCCTTGACGTACTTATTTCAATTCCTGACTGCCTTACAAATGTTCTGATGGTAGTAGCAAAGATAATTTGACGTGACCGACAAAGTCGGATTCATCAGATGTGAGGCACCTGTAAGATGGTGCCATTAGGTTGTATAACATCCACATATCGGTAGGATATCCCTTCCAGCCACTAAAGCGAGGAACTTGAAGGTTACGAAATATTGGACAACGTCCACCTTACAGACTTGAATTTGAATTGTCGAATTCCTTATCGATAGCTATACAAGTTTCCAGATACAAATACGGTTATTGTCCTCTTGAAGGACCGCCTTTGCTTGATCCCTTTTGGTCGTCTATACGAAGAGGGCAACCTTACTAGTTACGGACTAAAGGCACACTTTACCATGAACCACAGTATATGCCACTGTAATCCACGATGACGAGGGGCGCTGGTTTATAACTATTGACTAGGATGCAGTCCCAAATCCGGGGTAATCATAGTTTTTTTCGGACTTTTAATCAGAGGTAAAAGTTACGTGTTTGTGCCACGTAGCCTAAGTTTCTGTCGATTAGATTCCTCCCCAGCTCGGCGAAAATCTGCCGTCATGAAACTTAAGCTAACCTTTTCAAGAACCTTTTTTGTCAGTGAACTTTACATTACTTCGTGTTTCTTGTTTTTTTAAGGTCAGCAGCGCTAAGGCCTCATATCTCATCGTCCGTGTTGTGACCTTTTTTCATAAGCGCGTCTGCACATAATCGATCAATCTAAGCGAATGCTTATATTCTTTTGTGGCACAACCTCTGGAACACTTGGAGGTCATGACCTGGCTGCTTCTGTTATATAGATCTGTCACACTGATAGCACCCTGTTGCCTTGGTTACAAATACAATCGTTGTTGCATAATCGCAACTCCTATCAGCTGGATACTACGCCCTGATCACTACAGGATCAGTAAACAATTCCCTTGTGGTCAGTTTGTGCTTGTTACCTGAATTAAGCGTATTACTTCAAATGGTTGGGCTTCACGCATCATTTAGACAATGGTCATAGTGGCAAACAATAAGCCTAAATGAAAACCAATCAATTCTTGCCCTTAGTCAGAACAACAACTTTGTAGGTTGATTCCAAGCTTTCCTAACTGAATAAATAAGATATTTTTCTCCAGGACCAAGAAAAAATACGAACAGCGCAATTCACGTAGAAGAGTGTTTGTGATGACAGTGGACCAATATGCTCCTCAGTCCTAAAGTACAAAGAGGTGAATCGTTTCCCTCTACTGAACACCTTGCGTCAACATGCTATAAGCAACGCTAAGATCTTCACGTAGAAGACTGGAACAGGCATCTATGCACCTTTACATTCATTGTAGAAAATTGCAACTTAAAGTAGCGGATGGGAATGGTGAAGCTGTTCTAGAGCCGCGAAAAGTCTAAAGGATAGTCTACGGCACCAGAGTATTTAGTCTACTTGCAAACAATCAGGGGCGATAGTAACGTCAGATGTCTGCTGTAAAAAAATTCAAAGTGGAGACAAAATAGCCCCTTATCGAGGCCATGTTTAAAGTCGGTTCCAGTCACGCCTCAGACTGGCTGACGATTTGCCAACCGTTCATGAATTGTGACAAAATATATCCACAAGAGACCTCGTTAAATTCGGATTAGCTGAACTTTCTGATTGTGAAAACTCTGGCTGTGTCTTTCAATACCAGACACTCAACAATCTTCATTTTTCAGCCTCCCTTCTGATATTTCCACTACCTTCACTTTTTTCCCGCAAGGAATTGAACTGTTGCTTTTGCATATCACTCATTTTCACAATCTTTAGCCTCCGGTCAGACACGAAGTTACCGTAACTAGTTGTTATATCTTTCCGAGACCAGCCATTTTAAGGTACCCAGCGTACGACATCACTTGATTTTTGATATGTTGTTTGGGACAATGTATTACTTGTCCTCCCAGCGGGCTGCGTGCGGATTCACAGTTGACGAGGTCACTGTTACATACATCTGTATGGTCCACCTCTGTGTGTTGTCTGTGCTTTGTGGCATGTATGTGTGTGTGTATCGATAGCCGTTTAGGGGACTGCTGTTTGATGGTGACTCGGCTAACGTAAACATTTAGGAGGAAAAAATCAGTGCATTCTGTGCGGATCACCAGGCTTCCAATGTGTTTTGATTAGCCAAACAAATGAATTCGAACAACCTGGTGGAATTAGCGAATATACACTCATCTGCAAACTAATTTGTTTCTTTCGAGAGACTCACCTGGAACCCAGCTGAATCTCTCGTTTATGATGCTCTCAGGCAACTGAATGTGCTGCACCAGGCCGCCTCATATTTCAGTCGCTACGATATTTGAAATATCGCGATACATGTATATTTGTAATGTAGAACATAAGGTTGACGGAAACCCGGGGACTGCGCCTACCTGATGAGCCCCGAAAAGGGCGAAACCGGACTGAAACATGAGGCGGCCTGGTGCAGCACATTCAGTTGCCTGAGAACATCATAAACGAGAGATTCAGCTGGGTTCCAGGTGAGTCTCTCGAAAGAACCAAATTAGTTTGCAGATGAGTGTATATTCGCTAATCTCGTGCAATTTGGTTTCAAGTAGAACATAAGGTTGACGGAAACCCTGGGACTGCGCCTACCTGATGAGCCCCAAGAAGGGCGAAACCGGTCGGGGGCTGTCGATGGATTTTCAGCAACCTTATGAGTAGTACATTACAAATAAACCTGGTGGAATTGTTATATAGCATCTTCCGTGAACATTGGTTTCCTTCAATTGTTGTTGGATGGATGGCGATTGGCTTTAATTTGGACGCTTTTCGTGCGGGCAAACATCCACGATAACCCATATGGGTGTTGCGGATTAGTTCGTGAATCACGCGTTCATCATAAGAGAACCTCGGGCTTATCAGGGTTAAGTACATTCCAACCGTTGTAGGGTTATTCTGGTTTACATTGCTGCGGCTTCCTTACCTAATGTAGTACTGATACTTCCCCTCCCCTCCCCCGTAAAGTGCGCATTTCTTGGAAAGTTTAATGTTTTAGTGAGACTCTGTGAGGTATTTCCTGTTGTGTGTAGTAGGTAGTTCAACTTGAGACTTAGAAGATTTGAAAATCGCAACAGCGCAACCACAGAATGGAACTGATCGTAGAAGAATACGGTAGCGCTGCACCTGAATTTCTGCCCCCTGTTGATCATCAATCGGGCCCATTTTACAACACAACTTTTACCCTTCATTTACACCTGTACAGGTAGTCATAAACAGCACATTGTCAGAAAAAATGACATTCAAGAAAACCTCACAGAAGTTTGGACAGTGGGCCGATCCCAAAACAGGTAGCGTCCATGGCCTTGGCTTCAATTCAGAAATGGAACTGACAGAAGTATGTTATCTTGTATGCTGCTCAAAATATTCTTGTTCTTATCGCCAATGCTGCATCCGTTTTTGATGTCACAGCAATTCCAGCCAATCCCCTGACTTGAAACGATTTGGGTGCGCTTCATGGCCGTATAATTTATAGTTTCGAGTGTCTATATATTTTTTCGTTATCTAACTAGTAGAATCCAGTTTGCAAATAATGGCTTCAGATCTGCACAACTTATCCAAACATACGTGGTTTTTCAGCCTTAGATTTTATCCGTTGTGGCCACATTTACTATCGACGATTGTCCGCCATGTTAACCTAACCGTGTATATAACTTTGATGTTATGTTCTCTGACGTGAGGTAACACGAACATGAACGAATTGACACTCGTCGTGTCTCGACTGATCCGTTTCCCCGTTATTGGCTTATAGGTGCACGTTCCTCACAATCCTAGGGACGGTGTAGAGATGACGACTTCAGGTATACATCTTCACAAAAACTGTATGCTCTGAAAAGCTCAGACGTACGTGGATTGAAGCGCCCAATACATTGTTGAACAGCTCCCCGGTGTCTTAAGCTTAACTTTTCCTGTCGCCAGCTGGCCCAATCTTTCCCATACATTATGTAGATCCTTTCCGTGGAACACACGGTATAGCTTTTATGCCGTTTTGAAGGGTCAAGGGTATCGTGTGCATCTTATTCACCCAGATGGACCAAGTGGTTAAGAGCGCGAATTTACTGACCGGAAGGTCCGTGGTTCGAATCCGACCTCCGCCACTCGACTTCCCCTGTCTAGGTTTGGGCGACCTGGCAGTATCTCAGCCCTCGTGCCTCCTTCGTGCGGCATGGAAGCTAGGCACCGAAAGGGTGCTACAGCTGAATGATTATTCATTCACTGTTCCTAGATTTTATCGTGTCCCCTGCAGCGTAACGTACCCATGAGGTCAACGCATTTGTGTAGATTTGTATTTCTCTCAACATATTTATATAAATATTATCCGGATGGTAAAATCATCATCAATAGCATAGACAGCGACATCGGTGCGACCTCCGACTTCGGAATGAGGGGGGCGGGAACTTGGCTCTAGCCTTGCATGATCCACCAGTTGATCACTACACAGCCGTTCACGTTCCCATGCTTTCGGATCACTTGCACGCTCTAGAACCCTTGTGTGCCTGTGGTCATCAGCTACTCAACGAACGGACTTCAGTTCAGAGCTTTGTGCTAGAAACCAGACCCATATCGTTCGCTTGGCCAAGACGTTTAAAAGTTCAAGTGTTTTGTTGGTATCACTGCCTTTTCCACATCACCAATTTCTCACTGATTCCCTCCCGTCAGATCTATCTTTAACCCCAAGCGGGCTAGGTGCTGCTGCAACTTGTTGCTTACGAGCTCATTCTTCTCATCTGCACTGCGGGTTACGTCAACTAACACAACTTACACCACACCCTTCTACTTTCCTTCAGTTTTGTTAACCTATTTGTTAATCTTGTCATCACATCTGTCCATCACGTGACTTCATCATAACGAGGCGTGTTCCATACATGTATTGTCGTAAATGTGTTCGGAACTCGATATTGAGTTTGCTTTTTGAGCTTTCAATCCATTTTAATCCGGAAAACCGACAGATTGGCATTATTGAGAGGAAGCACGGACTATTGCATATTCGGGATCTAATTTTACGTTTCATCGAATATGCACTCCAGGCTAGGGGCCAAGGCCTCTAACATTCTACATTCTACCCGCGATCTCGGCTTTGGCAGTGGGCCATACTACTCCACACCTGAAACTGAGATGAAATGGATTATCTGAGACAATTTTCTCACAACACACGCGTTTTAACGGCCAGAAATCTATGTGCACGCAACAAGTTACACATAGCAGTTGTCATCACTGACATTAACACCTGATGGTTCACTACCACACGGATGTCGTATAATGGAAAAAAATGGAGCAGCAAGGGGGACCACAAAAATACAAGACGTCCACACCTTCAACACTCGGTCGGATAATCTGGATAGTAACTGGCAACATTAACGCCACTGATACCTTTTAACCGCCATATCTTCCAGCGTCTCTCGCCAAGCACAGTGAGGGTTACGAGAACTCCGTTCTGGAAGGCGAACAATACTACCAGCACCCAATCTTTTCGTAATACCTTTCATTCCCTTCTGTCTTGTCAAATTCTGTCCACCCCTGTGTTTCTGCCACTCCGAATGAGGCACGGCAAACAGTGCTCTTGTCGCAATGTAATTAGGAGCTGTTACACTAAAACAAAACTTTAACACCGATAGTAGCAAGCCATTTTTCGCGTTTGTCTATCAGTAGTGCAACCATTTAACAAGTGGTGATGTGATTTATCTCAAAGCCAGTACGAACCGGTCTACCGTACCGCTTTTGGAAACAGGAACAATTCCACTCAGCTGTACGATGCTCCTCGATTATTCAACATAGGTTTCAAAATGAAATTCGAGTCGGGCTCCAGCAACCAGTCTCCTTTTGTTAGAAGTGTTCACCGGATTCCTGTCCAGCACAACATGAACAATATCAGAAAGCGTTCAGCTGTAGCACCCTTCCGCTGCCTAGCTGCCATGCCACACCAAGGAGGCACGAGGGCTGGGATACTGCCAGGTTGCCCAAACCTAGACAGGGGAAGTCGAGTGGTGGAGGTCGGATTCGAACCACGGACCTTCAGGTCAGTAAATTCACTCTCTAACCACTTGGGCCATCTCGCCCCCGGGCCATCATAACAAATATTATAATATATATCATAACAAGAACATCAGGGCAGTTGTAACATCCTTTCGGTGCCTAGCTACCTTGCCACCCCAGAGCTGAGATACTGTCAGGTTTCTCAAGTCTAGACAGGAGCAGTCGAGGATTCGAACCACGGGCCTTCCGACCCGTAAGTTCTCGCCTTAACCACCGATCTATCTGAAGCTCGCACCGCAGTGTAGCGCACCTTATGGTATCTTAGGAGAAACCTGGCCAATGGGCCTGAATAGTTCCTTTGTTTGCCACTGTTTCGATGGGCAGGTTTTATCAATTGTATTATATCTATCTACTTTATTTTTCCGCACTCTTGTAGTTTGTCAACCATTTCAAACAATACGTTGAAGCTTCCAAAGGCTCTCCATGCACATCCACCAGTTCAAACGGACGAGAGGTAAGCGCGCGACGTCTTTCATCTGTTGTCGAATGTTTTAATTTCTTCAACGTGGCTCCTCACTCACATTTTGTCCACATTCGGAACACTATCACTTCAATGGCCTTCAGTGTTTACAATATTTTCTTGACAATAATTGCTACTAACCTCCTACTAAGTTGCAGCTTCCAGCTCACTCGGACAAACCGAAGCTCAGCTGGCGATGATTTTTCGCTTCTTTATCACATGCAAACAGGTGTGATAACGGTGATGTGTCTGGACAACTAAGCGAATCCACATAACAGTGCACTGTATGGTTTCTGGTGCAATGCGGTGTCTTGAATCTGATAAACACGACTTTCTGACTGATAGTTCAGGGATGAGTGAGCATGCTTTAGATTTTTGATGCCGATGTTCTTGTTTTATTTGGTAGTCATGTACAGTTTACATTTCTATCCATTCGTGTGTCTGTCTAACTTCTATTCACAGTAAGCACATACGGTTGAACAAATGCTTTAACTCCCTTAGCATATACATACCCCTGCTGCGCCGTCGCTGGGCCAACAAACGAAGCCAGATGTGTTTTTTCTCTGACGTTACAGTGCTAAGCCACCTGAATAGACCTGTTTCCCTCGTCTGTTTTCAATTTACGGGTGGAGTTATTTGCGATGGCAATCAAGTTGTTAAACCGATACGTTTTTTTTCTAGCTTTGAATGTTCTCAACTGTTCATCACCCATATAACCGAGTATCATACCGACACGAGTGGAGTTGATTGATTGGTTTAATTGACTGTAACCAATGACGTGTCAGCCATGGTGCTTGGTCATTTTTTCGGTGGATTAATGTATACTGATCATATCCGCTTGGATTTGGTTGCCGGCCGCGCTTAACCTACCAAACGTTTTCGAATCGCTCGGAATAGTGAGATGTTCGTTTTTCGTTAGGTGTACGTGATGCCGATCCTGTAAACAGTAGATGTACTGAAACTGATTCACGCAGACTAAAGCCGAAGTACCAAAGAACTGGTGGATGTTGATAGCACGATACCCATAGGATCGTTGATTCTCTCTGGGACTTCCGCTGGCGTCCATACCCCACGCATTTCTTCCCAGTTTTTTCTGATGCTAACCGTCCATTAGGTATCGTTGAATTTATGCCGAACAAATCAGTTCACAAGTTACAGGAGTCTGGCAATGTCGATTTTCTCTCTCGTTTGAGAAAATGCCTCATTCTGCGAACCGACCCCTGTGACTGACTTTCAACATTGAAGTGAATGCAATGGACAATGAAATGAGTTCCGAGCCTCACTTACTGTTAACATGAATCGCTCAATGACCGTTTGTAGCTCTCGGGGGAAGCGGCATTTTTCGTTCGAAGAACGTCTTGGCTGTGCTTTACACCTTTTTCTCAGATGCTGCCAATACAAGAGGTTTAATTTCTTCGTTACCAGTCATGTTGGATAATCAAATCCACCCAGATGGTGCGTGGACTGGGACGTGTGGTGCCTGCTTCCTGCGACTGCCTTCTGAGAGGCGATTGTCTATTCACTGTTCAAAAAGTTGTCCAGTCCTTCGGGCTCGTGTCTGATCCCCATACTTTTGCTGAGGATTACTCGCGGCTGAATAACACCACTGAGCACCACACTCGAACCCCCCTCCTCACCCACTTGCGGTCGGTTCCTAAGACTCATTGCTTTGAATTACCTAACTTGACGCAACATCTTTTTTAAATGATTCGATACCTTGTAGCTACTTCCGCTTCTATTCCCGTGGGCCTTTTTGCTGGGCCGTTCACGTCGGATTAACACCATCATGAGTGGAAATACCACACAGTTGTCCGGACGACTTGGTAGCCTACCCATTTCCCGGGCATGTCACTCGCATATGCTTTGTTGTTCTTCCTTTTGCCCACTCGGGCGTCATGGTGCATCCTGTTGCTGGTTGTAATGTGAATTTTGTTATCCGGTTCGCACCACAGTCAGCCCACATTTCTGATCAGTCGTGGTCGTTACTGTTTCTCAGCTTGTTTGTGCCTTCTGCATCACACACACACACACTCACACACCTCATCCGGTGTCCCAGTTTGGGGAGAAGCTGTGGCTTTTGCCCACTCTCATCGTGTGTGCCGGTCTGCTGCACCTCGTGTGTCAATTCTCACGGCAAATATTTCCTGATTCGCGTATCTTACTGGACTCGTTCCACTTACTTGGGCCCTGGTTTGTCTCATGTTTGCTTTCTGTGTCATTCAGTTGTTTGCATAGAAGCATGCGTGCTGTCTGTCACTGTCCTTTCAGCCTTCCTTCTTGGTGTTGTTTTTTATCCCGTCGCATTGTAAATGACCGGCGAATTTGCGGTGATATATATATCATGACTGATTTCCCGTCTCTCGTTTGTTTTGGCATTATTGATTATGAAGTTTGGTGTGATTGTGTGGCATTTTGCAACTGCCGATTTTGTTTAGACTTGCTTGCCAATCCTTTGTGTCAAGCCGTCCAAACTGTCGGGTTTGTGCACTACTCTCCTCCGGAAAACAGTATGAAAAGAAAACTGAACTCAAGCCTTAACTAGTGGTCTGACAGTGCCGTAATAAACCCACATGTTGACGTAAATTAAAGTTTGTTGGCCGCTTTCCCCTGATCCTGATGTGTCCATTATGTTAGTCGCGTATACCCGCCGTTCAACTATGTTGTTCACCGCGTTCATCTTCGACCACGTCATCCTCCAACTTGAATTCTGTACATACACAGATGTGGTTGCACCTGCCTGTAGCATTGTTTGTACACGGTGAATACACTGATAACCTTCTGTTGAAACTGAGCCACTGTACAACTGCGGCATATTCCTAGTTGTCTTATGAGGCGGAATTCCGGCAGATCAAATTTCATTCTCCCACTACAAACGTTCAAGATTTGATCAGAACGTTTCAGGAAGAATCTGGATAGAACCCTTTGTGTTCAATCCGATAGAGCGAAGAAACTAAAGTTTCGTGAAGTTCGCCTCATGGTTTCAACTTCTTTATATACTTTTGTGTATCGCATGAATTCTCCGTATATTACGGATGACTTTACAGATCAATTCAGCTGAACGAATAGCTTATAGCATAGCTGGCACTTGGATGCAGGAGGCGCACATCTTCGTCTGGTAACTTCGCGAAAATTTTTACTTCTGTTGATCATCAAAACTGCTTGTTTTGTAGTTGGCGAAAAGTAAAGGTTAATAACCGCTCCCGATAGTCTGATCATTTCTTCATTTTGTTGAAGCACTGTCCATTACACACTTGCCCCGCTTCTTCAAACTGACACTGCTCTAAAGTTGTCGATCATCTGCCAAGCCTTGCGAGTTTCCAAAATTGTTTTTTCTTTAGTGGTTAGGTTGTGTACAATGCAGACCCTTCTCGAAGTGTTGTGCTACCTCATACTGGGGGAAGGGACATATCTGGGGCTGAGCATGTGGATTTGATTTTAGTGTCTTTCTCTCCTTGACGGCCGACGTAATTTTTGCCCAGACGCAGTGCAGATGCACCTCAACGTGAGCCATTCCTCATCGGAAAAACTTGTTCCGCTTGCAGCGGCTGTCTAAAAAACAGAATTTGCGCAGATAAGGCGTTCATTTGCCAACATCCGATCAGGATTCTGTCTGCCTTTCAAAAAGTCAGTGAACGAGAGTTCTATCTATGGACTGCAGGTACGCTAAGGTCCCGGAAACTAATGCAAGGCCGGTTGGTCACCTTTACCCACAGAATGATCAGCATTAGGCAATACTCCGATGGAAGCTTCTTGTTGGAACTTTCCAACTTAGGTCATGAGCTTTGTGATGCTGGCGCTTTCCTGACACCAGTAGTTTTTTCACGGTTTACTCTTTCCACTTCCTCAGTTTGGTGACCTTAGTCAGAACTCGCTTTCTAAGGGTTCTTCCCGGGATCGAATTTTTCAGTTCTTGTTCACACGCACTCTTTTTTATCCCATGTAAGTATACGCATAACCAATCTCACTTGGAGATGTATGTGCACAATGAGGAGATCGAAGCAGTCTGTTCTATGCCTAACTGATGAACGGTCTACTCACTGAGTTCGCGGACGATTAGTCTAAGGACTGGGTTACGTTATTTGTGGCGGAAAAAGCCAGTTGGATGGCGATAGCTCAGGAGCAGCTGTTGTTCTTACCAACCACCCAAAAACTCTGGACCGGAATCCAATGCTTATGATACAGATAGCCTCTTCCGTAAGCGATCCATTTCCATTCCCTCGGATATTCGACATCTCATGTTTGCTCGCTTTTCAAAGTGCCGCTTCCGAAACTGTGTTCACACTGATGTCACGGTTTGCCTCAACTATTCCCATCCAAATTCTGGTCAAATCCAACTCCATGTCGTACATGGGAAGCAATCGTCTGTGTGTACAGATCTAGCGCTGTAGTCTTTGCCACTCTGTTTTCGTTCGTTTGTTCCGTTTGACAGTTTGGCAATGTCAACCTGAGGAGATGTTATGCTCATGTGCATTTTCCACGGCACTGGTGTGATTTTGTTGTTTGTTGCGGTCGTATGCGTGCAACTTGGTTAAACCCTACGCACGTCGGCATCGCCATCTTTGACCCAGCTTTTCCCCAGTACGATGTTCAGTCACCGTTTCGGACCGCTGCATGTTTGCGCGATTCCTTTTGTTCTCTGTTCGCATGCAACAACTGTGCATATGGTTCGGAATCAGAAAGCTAGCGTTACTTGGATGAGGCCCCTTCATCAACTTTCCGGGGCCAAATGGGAGACTAAATATATTTGCTTTTCGGGTAGTGAGCAGCATCCGTTGGCTTATCGGGTTAAGAGTTTGGGAAAATGAGGATTGTTTAACCGTCATGTCGTATCCCGGTTTGTTTCCGTCTAACCGTGTTTGCTACTATTTACGATTTTTACATAATTTTTTTGTGGCTGTGTTTGTATGAAACCTTTCATAACTTCCTCAGCTACCCGAAAAAAGAATTTACACACTCCATCCCTGTGGTCAGAATCACTTCTATCAAAATCAACAATTTGGTTATTTTTTTAGATTTCGGAGCTCCTTGTTTGCTTTTTGTCCGGTAAACATTTCACTCCAAGTCTGCTGCCTTCACAAAACGGGTTTCTTTAATTGGTGCTAGACCTAGCTGAAGTATTCTATTTTGTTTTTGCCGGTTACTTTGTCCAGTTCGCCCTTAACAATACCAAACAGTTTATTCTTCGTCAACTTATTTGCCCTTTTAGCGGCACGATCAGCAGACACTGAACTCCATAAAGGAGCTTCCAATATCGTTATTAGCAAGTCATTTAAAAGCTCAACTAGCTGTTGACCTTTTGCTTAGTTTATCTTTTTAAGCAACGCCTCAAAGCGTTTTTTTCGGCGCTGTGCTATTCTTCATCAGCCTGGTCAGCATCAAAGCTCAGTGTTCACGGTGGCTTTGAAAGCCGAGCGTTTCCAGCATATTGTATCGCCCCGGAATGTTTTTCATGCCCTCGGTCTCACCAAAGAAATATGATTTCTTATTGCCTGTTGTGATTTTCAATCATTGCTGCCGTTTTACGAAAAAGTCGAACTTCTTGGCTTCTAAGTGCTTGACAATACAGCTGACGTGTATCATTCCTGAAGGGACATCCGCAGAGTGTGAACATGAATAGCAGGATGATTTGCCCTACAAAATCACCGGGAGATTCCATAACGTCTCGAATGGAGTAGCTTACGATTCTCGATACTCATTTTTACACCCCTTCCAGCATGAAGCCCTCCCACCCACAATGAACGGTCATTCACAAACGGTCGCACAATCCTCTATCCTGTCAACAAGTCACGGACAACCGATGGTTGCTGTTCCACCGGGGTCAATGAATAGCATCACCCATACCGCAATGCTCAGTCCACCAATGTCTCTATCCAGTCCCTTTGGGTCTACTACCCAACCAGACGCCAGTCCGCACTCGGTTTACTTGCCCCAGACCTCCCTCCAGCTTCAACAACAGTTGAAGCAAGCCCAAGCTCAAGTTCGCTTGTTGGAGGCCGAGTTGAACGTGACAAAACTCCAGGTCACCACAACCATAGGGAGCAACAATTCCTCTGAGGTAAGTACTTATTGGTTGTCTGAGACTACCGCTAACTGTTCTGTCGAATAATTATGTGAACGCACTTTTCCTCAATTCGTTGCTTTGGTTTTCGTCGTTCACATGTCCTGAGAGTCTGTTCCAATTCACCTCATGGTTTCTGAAGGCGACAACTACCGAATGGATGACCAGCATGAGCATTTGCCGAATTCAACCGTCGCACGCAAATTAGATCTTGATAGCGCCTTCCCGCTTGTCATTGTCTTGGTGGATAGCTTTGACTTCCACATAACAGAATAGCATGAAAACCCGTTAGGGTTGCACAATGCCGTTCAGTCATCCGGGGAACCGACCCTCCCCCATCCAGCTATTCACAACAGGAAGTTGGGCGAAGACCACCCTAGCACACCGTGTGAGCTTCCCGTAATGAGTACATGCTGTGTCGTGTTACTGTCTGCCGATGTGCCATTTCACTGACCTGAAACTTTGTCCTGTTTACTCCGACATCGTGTATTCCTTTGATTCTGTCGGGCTACAACAGGGCTTCGGAAAAGTAGACTGTTGCTCTTTTCAGAAAGTCACTTAACTACTCATCCAAACCACCAGATTCCATTTTGATGTATGGTTACATGAGACTACATCTGTTCACGACAATTTTATATATGCTGACTTTACGCCACCCGCTAATAGAAGCGAAGGGGCTATCTCAACAAGTCCATTAAAATGCATGCAATCTACGAAAATTAATATGTGAGGTTCGTTGGAAACGCTACATGTGTTGGGAACTACCTCTGGATAGTTCGGAACCGATTTGTCGTGTTTATCTTTTCATTCGTATGTTCAACACCAAACCGTGAATGACGGATCTGCCGAAGAACCGAGTATTTTTCGCACTCGATTCCCATGGTTGCTCCACCCCGAAGAATCAACTGAGTTTAGATATTTTGTCTGATTTTCAGCTAAAACTCCATGTTGTAAACCAAAATTGTGCTACCAACACTAACCAGTTAGCCGATTCGACCCGTTACCCCAGTGCGCAGATCTGACAAGTGTACTGATTTAGTCATCATTTGGACCTTTTCATCTGTTCGACCGTTTCTTACATTTCGAGGCGTCACTGCGCTACCCTCTTCTCCGAGACCCAGGATTATGACCATTCTGGCACCCATTTGACTATCCTCCAATGGTGTACCCTGACCAAGGCGCTCTTGATAACGACAAAAATACTAGCGTAGCTTTTTTTGCCTTTTAGAACAGAACCGCCTAGAAGCTATAAAGCATGATAAATGTACTTTGATCGAGATTGTAAATGAGTGGTATTTCTGTTCACCTTCGGCACTGTTCACTTAAGTTATTTTTTCTTCCCTTCGTGCGCACTACCACTTTTAGACTGGAACAGTAAGCGATACCATGAAAAACCCCGCCCGGTCGACTGTTGAGCCTCCTTCGTTGGAACAGCCGAATGTAGCTGAATTGCAAGGTTGCATATCGGGACTTGAATTGAATGGTAGCCTCATGAACGGTGCCGGAGAGGAGTGGACGACGACCGAATTGCCGAGTCCTCCCAAACCGTCCTATTTCATCCCCACCCCTCCAACTGCCAGCAAGGGCCGAGGCTTCTGGATTGATCACACAAGCGGGGAGACTCTAAGATCTCTACACACGCGTTTGGGCTACATACTCCGCGAAGCCGTCGAGCTACATGCGCGCTTAGGCGCGTTACTTCCTCATGGAATTCCCGGCGCCCCACCTGAATGAAACCGAAGTGCTGGGGAACATCCCATACATGAACTGAAATTTCGCCTCGCGCTTATCCCGACAGATCTCGGTAGCTCAGTCACAGAATTATCTGATCGACTTCACTGCCAGTGTCTGTTTTGTGAGGCGTACAGAGTGTTGCTTTGACCCTGTGAGTGTACCAAGCCTTTCGTTGTACAGTTCATGCCCAGTTGGACCAAAATGTCACCTCTGGTTGATATGTACATGGCGCTCACTACTGCTTCTTTGACTTTCTAGTACTCACCTGTCATCCACTGCACCTATAACTAACTAACCCCTTAAGCCTACCCAGTTGCATCTCAAAGCCAGTTAGATGAATGGCATCCAAACCTATCCCTTGCCATCTGAACCTTTGCTTATCTAACTTTTGATTTTATGCATTTTCTTTTTTCAGTCAACTTTGTCGTACCTTTGTAAGAAGAAAATTGACCTTTTTCACTTTCATATGGGTTGTTTTATTGATCCTCGCAGTCGATTGGGCTGTTAACTCTCGACCAACTGGACTACAATAACCTAGTGAGACGTTTTTCGAGAAATACACTCGTTTGCAAATCAGTTTGGTTTTCACGAGAGACTCGACTGAATCTCTCGTTTATGATGTTCTACAACTGAATATGCTGCACACAGGCCGCCTCATGTTTCAGTTGGCACGATATTCGAGATATCGCAGTACAATTTCATGACGGAAACTACTCACAAGGTTGCTGTCGAAGAGTTTTCAACGACCTTGTGAGTAGTTTCCTTCATGAAAATATATTAGTGGGACGTTGTTTATCCTGATTTCCCGATAGTATCCATTCATAAAATAGCAGTATCTGAATGCAGAAGTTTCTGGTTTGTTCACACCCCAACCGTTCACTTCTAAAGTCATTTGAAACACTAAAATCAGGTCATTTTAGTGACCGGACTTGGATTAGGAAAGCCACATCCAGTTGAGAAACCTCTTTTAACGCAAAAAGACACTGGTATGGTGTGAACTATCAAGGGAATGGTAATACTTTGCATACTGCAGCAGCTCCTCTATCCCTCATAACCAGATCTCATCTGTAGCCCCAAAGTGTCACTTAACCTTGGCGGCTATCCTAACTCGAAATTTCCTTCCTACCATCGACATTTTTTTCAAGTATTTGGTACAAAGTGGGCGATGTACATGACCGTTGTTGTTTCACTGATGTCCATCAGCGCAATGCGGTCGAGATGGCTCAAGTGGTTAGAGCGCGAATTTACTGACCGGAAGGTCCGTGGTTCGAACTCGACTTCCCCTGTCTAGGCTTGGACGACCTAGCAGTATCCCAGCCCTCGTGCCTCCTTGGTGTGGCATGGCAGCTAGGCACCGAAAGGGTGCTACAGCTGAACGATTATTATCAGAGCAATCTGTTCACTGGTAAAACCGGTGCTGCGATCCCAAAGATCCGGAAACCTGACCTATGAACTTTTAGCTCCTATTACTGCTTGAAAATTTGTTATTCCCCGCCATAGAGGAGTTTTACTTCCTTCGGCTAAGACCCACTCAGTTACATGATAAGAGTAAGATCAATCGTTTGCAAGGACTCTTGCTGTTACTGTCGTGTATAAAACTGACTGTCACCGATCTTCTCGGCTGTGAACTACCGTAGCATGTTTACTGTGACACCTTCAGCTATGCGCGACATTCTTACTGTACATGATGGTCTGTCGAGACTCGGACTTCGGACTGTATAATTGTGACGTGTCGAGGGAAATGGAATCAGACCACTCATGGTGTTTACGATTGACATTTTCTTCAATACGCGTTTGCAGCAGCTTGGTTTGTGTTTGGTTGTCTTTTGTCAATCGATTCAATCAATAGTTGATCTGCCGTGCTCACCTCTCAAGTGTGCGGTGGTAATCCAATCAGTTTATCTGAAAATAGCTCAAGACTGTACTCGTCATTGATAATGCGCTGAAATGGAGCTGGACACTGGCCTATCATTGGTCTATTATCTTGGTGGCTCGCTTGCGCAAAGGAGAGGCCCCGATTACTTGATAATTGGTGTGCAGTGTAATTGCTTCGCGTCTGCTGATAAAACAACACACCAGCCAAAGGGTTGGAGTGACGGTGAAATCCCTATACAGCGAACACTGTTTCCTTCGGTCAGAACGGTCGCTTCAGAGACATGTACGTCGGCGCTCGGTTACACATCACATATTCCAGCCGATCTGAGCAGTGGGTGGGTCACCTGCTCTCTGAGCTTACCATACCCGTAGCGGTGCTGGAGTATCTGGTCAATTACGTTTTATTGCATCGCCGCCATTCCTTATAATCTCGGGTGTGTTCGTAGGTTATACCCTCAAGAGAATGCAACGCAAATGGCGAAATTACCTCGGGAATCGACGGCCTTTTCAATTAAATTAGTGTGATGGTTGAACTGACTGATGTGCATCATTTTTTTTCATGGGTGATTATGTATCTGGCACAAAGATTCACATTTAACTGATATAAGGCAAACAACAAGTGGAGTTCAATGGATTAGTTTTTTTTGAAGAAGACGGGTGACGAAAAGCGAGGGCAGTTTCACATCAAGTGCTTTTCAGCTACCGTTTCCTCAGAAAAACTCCAACCTGGTCGACACTGTCGGAATGCCGTGATGAAAATTAGGATGTACGTCATTTCACTTATCACTCGTGTCGAATCGCTGTTCTCCTTAAATAAAGCCACCTTTAAAGGGAGAAGGCCTTTGCTGCGGAGTTATTTATTAGAAAATGCCAACTGAACAGTTAGACTATTGGACAGGGAAGCAAAACTCTCATATGCATCTTGTTTACAAAAACTGAATATCCATCTTCTCTTTGAACGCGTATTTCTGAACTTTCCTGGATATTCATTGACTTTTACTCGATTGCAAGCAAATTCTACAGAGCGAATCCACAAAATCCGTAATAGATCTCACTCTTCAAGAAACGCAAAGCAGATTTACTAGAAAACATACTACCTACTTGTCCCCCCATCAGTAGTACCACCGTTACAATAGTATAGGCATAATATTGGTTGGGAGTGTTCCCCTTCTCCGATGACGTCAGAAAATAACCTCTTCAAGATATGCCATCGGCCGTCGTCATTGGATTAGTCATAGTCAAGTCAAACGCGGTCGAGCGACCGCGAGTAGACTGATGAGACCAATGACCAACGTATCGCCTCGTCCATCTTCATACATCAAATCAACGTTTCAACGCGTAAATTCAAACGAACGGGTATATATCGATTGTGAATGATTCGCCTGATTCTGTCAATCGGTAGAACAAGGATATCGATGCATTTTTATCACGAAGGCAAAACCTGTCTTACGATACTAATGACGTCACGATGACTGCTGTTTTCGTTTGTTTCTCACTCAGCATGGTCTAACGACCACGCGGGAATAGTTTTTCGCCTATCTACGGCGTCAGCTTGCGACACTTGGAAAACCACGTGTTTCTTACAGATACGGTGAAACAATACTAGTGAATCCGCCTATCTGGATTCGAGCGACCGGTCGATCTGGACGAAAGAAACCTAATCCAAGTTTCAAACCGAATCTCCGAATAACAAACGTCTTTTACTGTTCAGCCTATTTGTTCTTACAGATTTTGCTACCTTGAATATTTGGTGGCATAAGACATCGCGAACCGAACTGGCTTGGTTGACCCTACTTTTCAGCTACCGAAGGTCACCTTTGTCGAGAACAGTAGCGGAAACTGAACAGAACTCGTCACTTACTGCAGGGGGTAGAAAGCAGGGAACCCTACCATTGTGGAAGATGGAAAGTGTTCAAATGAGAGATGTGAATACAAATTCTGAAAATTCGCAAGACTTAAGCAAAACTTGTCCGGCATGTTTTGAGCCTCCATGGTGATACTTGCCTTGAAAACTTAGGTAGAGGATTCGGTCAGTCGAAACAACTGGAGCCGTTGTTGAGCATCGTTTGAGCTTCACTGCATGCCAATCATATCGGTCAACTGCGGACGCGTTGAGCAGTGCTAACGTAAGTCTCGCATGTCTGGTGTCTTAAGATCATATTTTCCTCTAGGCCAGGGGCCATACGGTAGCCCAGTCTCGGTTTGATGTAGCCTAGTCACTAGGAAGACATTTTTTAAACGAGACAGATGTAAACATAAATCCCACAACTAAGTGAAACTAGTTATCAAAACAAATGTGCGTTCAGCTGCTGTTGTTGTTTTGCGGACACATAAAAAAAAATTCATTTGCACATTTGCCCCAGTGATGACGGATCATTTTTTCTGTTGATTTACGGGAATCACAAGCTGTTCGTTACCTAGCTATCAAGAAGATCCCGAAGCAACAGCAGAATCTTTTTTGAGAGTATTGCCTTCTCAAAGTTTTATGTAAAATCAACCGCTATCATATAATCCAATCCATGAAAGATTTCAGATTCTTCGAGTAAAAATTCATATATATATATATATATATATATATG